GGGGGGGGGGGGGGTCTGAGGACCTGCCTCTGCAACAAGTGCCCAGATCGTGACACTGCTGCTGGTCTTTGGACCACAGGTTCAGAACTGCTGATTTGGAACTCGGTTCCAGCACATAGTAAGTACTTTATAAGTGACACGTGCTCCATGAATACTGTCACCGTCATCATCATCATTGCTGACACTGCTGTCTACCTGGTGGCTTCTGACTCACCCTTCAACACCCAGCTCAGGGGCTACCTCCTCTCAGTAGTTTTCCCCAATCTCCAACCACTTCAAACAGAGCTGATGGTGCTCAGCCTGGGCCCCACTAGCGCTTTGTGTGTAGAGCAGCACATCATCTGCTAGACCTGCTGGAGGGCTGTGGCTCTCAAGGTCCTTCGCCCCCTCCCCGACCACCGCCCCTCCCCACCCCAGTGGACCATCAGGAGCACGGCCATTCCCTGTTCATTCCTGTTTCCCCAGCTCACAGCGCAGAGCGTGGCACATAGGAGGGACGCAAAACATGCTTATTAGAATTATCTTCGGCTTAACAAAAGTACTCACTTTCTCAGGTGATGTCTTCATCCTGGACAGATATATTTTTTAATATTTTTAATGTCCTTCTGACAAGAATATAGCTCTCCAAATTGCAGCAATAAACTTAAATTTCTGCAAACAGGATTGGATATTTGCTACCTTCTTTGCTCCAGACAGTATTTTCTATTAAATTGCAAGCTCTTACAGAAACATCACACAGTCCTGATTCAGGGTTAATCAGAGGGTGTTGCAAAAAGATAAACATATTTTGAATTCAGAACCACTCTGAGTCCCAGAGTCTCTTGGTCCCTAACTCTCTTGTATGTGAGCATGCTGTCAGGGGCTTCAGCAGCATTGTTACGAGCAATGAAGTACCTCATCACAGCCTGGAAAAAGGACGACCTTGGTAAGTTCCCTTCCTTTCTCTCTTGTTCAGGAGTGTCATTTCTACATATTCCAGAGACAACCTCATTACTAAAAATACATCAGTTAAAAAGATTGAAAGCTCAACCAGAAATACCTCAGCATATTGTTATTTATGTGCTCTGAGCTCATCTCTTAATTGAAGAATTTCACAATTTGACTTTTAAAGAGAAAATGCCCCATTAGCTCTCGCTAGAACCCACGGTGTTCTGGCTGTGAATCCAGTCCCAGGGGAACGAGAGGCAGGATCGGCTAGGAGGCTGTTTGATGGAGATGACGAGGGCCGAGACCTAGGGGCAGTGCACTTGAGACCTAGGGGCAGTGGCACCGGGACTGAACTGAACGGGACAGTTTGAAAGACATTATGCAGAAATCAGTGGGATTCTACGACAGCCTAGATTAGAGACTAAAGAGAAAAGGGAAGAGAAGAACCAGAGGTCGCTTGAGGAATTGCTCAGATCTGGCTCCATGTTGCACTGCACACACACAGAGGGCACTATACATTTTTATATCAATGGAGAGAAAACCGTAGAGTTATTGTTCCTGAAAGAACCAGAAACCCAATTTCCTGTCTCTACAGGTTGAGGATGATTTTTAAACCTAATGCATTTGGGGAGAATGCTTTACAGATGAAAAGTATTAGCATTACTTCCGTGAGCACAGGCGCTGTTGTCTGGGTGATGGAGAACCTACTTCTGAATCTCCTGCTCTCGGAAGGCCCACTCCTTCCTCTCCATCTCATTCAGCATCTTCCTCCTCTTCTCAAGCTGGGAGGTGTCACCCAGAGAGGGGAGGCTGGCTTCCCAGGCACGCTTCTCCCGGGCTCGTTCTATCATTTCCACTTCAGCTTGTCCTGCTGGGAGACCTCGGCCTGAAGGACGAAGCAAAAACACTTTAGAGACACACAGACAATACCGGTATTTAATATGCTCCTTTTCAGCTCCTGTACTCTTTAAATTTAAGGTTATGCCAGGATAAAATATTAGGAAACACCTTCTAGAGGTGCCTTACAAGCTGTGCCCTGCACTGCTTCTTGTTAGTAATTCAGCCAGAATGCATTTTAGCTGCATATAAGATGCTGGAAAGTATTTCAAAAATATTATGTGGTTACTGAATGATCACACCTTGATATGCCCTGTATTAGACAAGTCAATTTTTTGAAATACAAAGAAGTATCAAAGCAATTTGCAGAAAGTCACAATTTAATTTTCCTCCATAAATGCCTTGCACGTGTTTTTATTAAGAGATTTCCTAGGTACTTTGCTGTTTGTTGCTATGAAAAATGCAATTTGTTAAGTAACATTCTTAATTAGGTATTGTTCATATATAGGAAAGCTACTGAGCTTTGTAGGCCGATTTTATAATTGACTACCTTGCTGAACTCAAGTTCTTAGTTCTAATAATTTCTTATTTCATTTGATATTTTACATGAGCGCATTGTCTGCAGATAAAGCTAGTTTTGCTTCTTTCTAATCCTCATACCTCATTTATTTTCTCTTACTGCACTGACCCAGCACTTTTCAACCAGGGCACCATTACTGCCTTATTGGACAATCGTTTGTTGTATGGGACTGCCCCATGCAGTACAGGATGTTTAGTAACCACGCCAGCCTATCCCCCAAACCACATCCCATGTGCTAAATGCAGGAGCACTTCCTGGGCATCATCAGACACAGAAATGCCACCCATATTTCCGCATGTCCCTGTGGGCAAGGGGTTATAACCTGGCTCTATGAGCTCTGGTCTGGGATGTTCTCTGCATTGCTAAGTAACAGTGGTGACGAGGGGATGGATCGTTGTCTTTTTCTTCACATTAAGGTAGAGCTTCTAAAGTTTCACCTTTAGTATTATATTTATTATTGAAGGCTATGGTAGACACCTTTTATTAAATTACTAAAATTTCCTTCTGGCCCGGCCAGCATCGCTCAGTGGTTGAGTTGTCGACCATGAACCAGGAGGTCATGGTTGGATTCCCGATCAGGGCGCATGCCCAGGCTGCAGGCTCAATGCCCAGTAGGGGGCGTGCAGGAGGCAGCTGATCAATGACTCTCTCATCATTGATGTTTCTCTCTCTCTCCCTCTCCTTTCCTCTCTCTGAAATCAATAAAGACATATTTTAAAAAAATTTCCTTCTGGTCCCAGTTTATTTAGAGTTTATATCATAGATGAGTGTTGAATCTTATCAAACATCTATTGAAGTATTTTTTCCTACATTTTCTTTTAAAATGGTAAATTACTTCAGTTTTCTGATGCTGTACTAAACTTGAATTTATGTGATTAACCCACTTGCTTATGATAAGTCATCTTTTTAAATACTGCAAGATTTGGTTGCTGGTATTTAGAATTTTTGCATTTTCTTCATATATGAGATAGCCCTGTAATTTTCCTTTCTAGTATTATCCTTTTTCAGTTTTCAAATCAAGGCTATACTAGCTCCATTAAAATGAATAAATTAAATTTCATTCTCTCTTTCTCTTTGCTAGAAAAATTTGCATAAATCAGAACTTACTTGTTTTTTAAAGGAGTGGTAAACTTATCTGTAAATAGGCCTGGTGCCCTTAAAGGAATTTTTTTACCAAGCCAATTTCTATAGTTATTCCATTTAGGTTTGCTATTTCTTCTTCAACCCAACTTGGTAATTCATATTTTCTTTAAAAATTATATAATTTATTTATTTTTAAAATATAGGGCAAAAGATATGTATAGTATTTTCTTACAGTTCTTAAATCATTTACTCTGTATTTATGTCCCTCTTCAGGTCCTAATATACTTTATTTGTATCTCTTTTATCTTGATATTTCCTATAAGAGGTTTGGCTATATTATTAATCTTTATCCAAAAAAATTACTTTATGGTCCCAATGACCTCTTTTTTTTGGCCTTTTTAAAGATCTATAGTATTAATTTCTGATTTAATTGTATTATTCACTTAACTTGTGAAGATAAAATAAATTAAAAATGTAAAACATTTAGCACAGTTCTAGGCACACAGTAAGCACTTAATATTTTTTCTTTGTGCCCACAGTGCCAACCTTTCTCAGTGTGTCATTATTTTTCACTTATTTTTATGTACACTTTTAATGAATGTATGACACACATGCATAAAGGCACACAAATGAACATCCCACATAGCCAGCACTCAGATCCAGGAATAGAATATTACTAGAACCCCAAATTGTCCATCACGCTCCTTCCTGCTCTCTTCCTTCCTCAAGGATAACCACCATCGTAATTCCCAGCTTAGTTTCAATAGGGTTTGAGCTTTATATAAATGAAATGAAAGTATAGGTACTTTTTTGTGTCTTACTTCTTTTGCTCAGCATTGTATCTGTGAGATTCACCTGTGTGGTTACTTGGAGTTGTGCTTTCATTATCATTGCTGTGCAGTATTCCACTTTGTGAATATATATATATATACACACACACACACACTACATTTCATTCATCCATTCTATGGCTGATGGACATTTGGGTTGTTTTTAGTTTGGAGTTATTATGAACAGTGCTGCTATCAACATTCCCGCACTTGTCTTTTGGTGAATATACATACGCGTCTCTGTTAGAACTAAGTACTCCCTTCTCTTTAGTATATGGCTAGGAATGAATATCCTGGGTCACAAGCATGAGTATGTTAAGTTTTAGAAGATGCTACCAAACTGTTTTCAAAAAATGGTGGTAATATATACATGCTGCATATGAAATTCTCTGTTTCAAATCCTTATCACCACTTGGTAATGTCAATCTTTTTTTTTAATTTAAATTTTTTATTGTTGACACTATCGCAGATGTCCCCATTTTCCCTTTCTTTGCCCACCTCCGCCCAGCCCCCATCACCCCATCCCTTGGCCCTCACCACACTATTGTCTGTGTCCATGGACTATGCATATATGTTCTTTAGCTAACCAGTCTTTTTGATATTAGCTTACCTGGTATGTGTGTAGTAGTATCACACTGAGGTTTTAATTTGCATTTCCCTGATGACTAGTTAAGTTGAACATGCTTCATATGGTAATTAGCCATTTGAAAATCCATTTTATTAAGTGCCTGCTCACATCATTGGCTCATTTTTCTGTTGGGTTGTCTTTTTCTTATTGACTTTAAGATTTCTTTACGTGTTCTAGTTATGAGTTTTCTGTCATTATATAGCTATATTGCAAATATCTTCTCCCAATCTGTGGCTTGCCTTTTCACTATCTTA